TACAGATCGAGATCACAAATTTGGAGTACCTATTTTACTCCACTCTACTCATTTCACTCCAACCTACCCACCAAGTCGTTGCTTCTAAAAAGGGAATGTAGGATAGAGCTGGGTATCCGTATCACTACCTTCATCGTTATCATAGTTTTGCGGACGGACAGACCGACAAACCGACAAACCGACACACCAAGTTACTGCTTTATAAATAAGAGCGATAAGCGAGAGAATTGGCGACAAGCTCTCTAAACGCTCTGTATATATTGCTTTAACTCGATCTCATGTCAACTGTGTTTTTTTGCCGCAGATGGACATGAATGTATGAATATTAGGGCAGAGGTCACACAAGTCTTTCACCACTCCACTTGGAATGTGATGATTGTTCTATCAGGATATGGAAAACATGTCGTTCTAGTTTTGCAAATGAAATGCTCGACCAGTATTGAAAATGCTCTCCCTGGCTTCGGCGACTTCTGCCAACACTGTTGCTCTTTTTCACTTCAGACCTCCCTTTATCGTTCCTCCTTGATCGACACACTTTAGCCAAAGTTTCAAAACCTGCGTCCACTGTCAGTGAAACATGTCACTGAACGTTCTCTTGACTATCATCTCTAAATCTTTCAATCGCTCTGTTCGCCACAAGTGGGTATTCTCTTCTCCCATCAGACATGTATAGGAAACACAGTAGGAAAATGAAGAGTAGGATGGGAGCGGAGTTTATATGTAGCGAATCATTGGGAAGCNATCTTTCAATCGCTCTGTTCGCCACAAGTGGGTATTCTCTTCTCCCATCAGACATGTATAGGAAACACAGTAGGAAAATGAAGAGTAGGATGGGAGCGGAGTTTATATGTAGCGAATCATTGGAAAGCTCGACGAGAGGCATCATCCCTTTATCGTCTTCGTAAAGATCGCAATAAGCTGAATCAATTCTTCAGAAGTTCTGCAGAAATGAGGAAAAAAATTATGCGAATGAAGCAAACAGGGGCTTGGACAGCACTATTTATTCTGCTCTATTTTTTAATTACAAAGTAATCACTGTGCATTTTAGATTATCAAGCTTCCTCACAGTTCATCACCCTTTTAAAGATTTTGAGCAGGTAGACCATATGACATATGAAGGAGAAACAATAAAAAAATCGTGAAGTGGGACTCTCCGAGAAAGTCGATCAAAGATTTCACTCTTTCGTCCTCTTCAGGAAGATCTTTATAAGCCGGATGTTCCATAACTGCAGCAGATATGTCAGGAAACCTACAAATGAGGCCAACGCATGGCAACATTATATTTTCTGAGCCAATTCAATTTGTTTTGATCACAAAGTATAATAGGTCAATGTGTGCCTGATAATTTCGAAACCACCTTATCACCACTGTTCATGTGCAGTGAAATTTCTGCAAATGGGAGCCCCGAAGGACATCCATCTGGGTCGCACTGAAATCCAAAAAAGATGATGATCATGGCCTATGAAAACAAATAAGCGATCAGTAAATAATCTTGCACATAAGGCTTGTACTGACAAAAATGGTTTCTTCGATAATAGCTCTCACTGTCCTCAGTGGTTGGGAAGTTCACAAACGTTATTCGCCATATAAAAAGAGCTTTATTATTATTATTTAGGTTATAACTGTAACTGAGACATAAAAAAAACCAAAGGTGGATAAAAAATTTGATGTCACGGCGAGCTGTTAACACTGACTAAAGATGCGAGACCGTCTTGTTCGTCAGGCTGGAATATCTATGACGTCTTACGAGTTCTTCCCCTATTTATGGTATCTGAGCGTATATCCTTTAGTCATTGCAAGGTGCTAATTCATAAAGGAGTGTTCTCCTGTAATTAGAGACCTTTCAACCGAAGAAAGTGAAAATTGGCTCGAAAAACCCCTAACAGGTTCAAAATAGAAATAGAAAAGGAGGATGACTACTGGCAGTTATTTCCTTACACGAAGATTAACCACCAGCTGACTTCCATTGTTTTTTTTCCCCATCGCATCCGTTCTATTCATATTGCAATGCATCCTGCTCGGGTTTGATCGTGTGGGCAGGCAGTGGGCGAAACAGAGAAGAAAGGTTTCTCAAAAACTGTGTACATAAATATTAGTTTTACATGCGAGTGTTCGGATAGAGGACATACTTGCAGACTATAACGAGGAGAGATGAATATTCAAATTCGTCCAAAACCAATGCTTTTACTGTTCGCAATCACAGCAACCGTGTTCGGAAAAGTTCCTGTTCAGGGTAAGGAACCATACAAATATCCTTTACACTACAAACTCCCTTATCAAAATTCTATGTGGATTATTAGAAAGCTTTTCAAGGTGATGTGGTTCCCGTGGATGTAACATCGACATTCATTAATCTCAACATGAAGTACAATAAAATGCTGGTGAATTTCTAATTTCGAATGTGATT